CTACCCGCATAAGCGGTTCCCTACCTATTGCGGCTTCTCGCTCCCCAACTTCAGCTCTCTGCACCACATACCTGCTGAATTCTGTGGTTCAGGTTGTGCAGATTGCTGTGTTAATCCTCCAATCAGTTTTCTAGGTGTGCAGGATGGTTTAGTGTTGGTCTGGCTGTATTTCAGGGATGCGAGACACACAAAAAGCTTCCATGCTATTCTGCCATCTTGGCTCCTCCCCCTGTATCCATTTTATAGATGAGTAAACTGAAGCTCCACTGGGTTCAGTGACATACCCAGTGTTTCATAGCTAGTAGGAGGCATAGCTAGAATGTGAACCCAGATCTATGAACCACAGCCTTTGCTAAAATTTAAGGATATACGAGGAAAACCAAGAGAGAGATGTGTTCCTAGATTCTATGAATTTTAAAGTATAAGAAAAAAGAATTTTAGAGAATAATTTAAGAATAAAGGTATAAGCATTCTGATTAATCATCTCTTTCTCTATATATTTATACGTGTGTGTGTGTATTCTTTGCTCCCTTACAAATCTCCACTACTGTGATAGAAAAAGAATTACTTTTATTTAAAACATTTTTAATGTTTATTCATTTTTGAGCGACAGAGTGATACTTAGCATGAGTGAGGGAGGGGCAGAGAGGGAGACACAGAATCCGAAGCAGGCTCCAGGCTCTGAGCTATCAGCACAGAGCCCAATGTGGGGCTTGAACTCACAAACTGCGAGATCATGACCTGAGCCAAAGTCGGATGCTCAACTGACTGAGCCACCCAGGCACCCCAGAATTACTTTTTTTTAACGCATAAATCCATAAGGAGAAAAGAAGATAACACATTGGTAATACTAAGAAAAACATGGAAGTTAGAAAACAGGTGAACAATTGGGAACAGACTAAGCAGGGCAGAAAAATAAGTAAATGACCCTAAGTCTACAGTGAGGAAGCCCTAAGGCAGACCAGTCAGTGCCCCAGAGAAGGAACAGTACAGAAATTGGAAGCAGGAGGCTTCTACGAAAGTGGTTCTGAAACAGCAGGATTTGCTGAAATTCTTGAAAGTAGCAGTGAGATGTCCAGAGTCCCTCCCCACAGCTCACGGCCCAGTGGTTCCCTCTCTTACAAATCATCAGAAAAGTTATGAGTTAAAAGGGCAGTCTAGAAAGGCTGCTGTCACTGAGGGACTGATGGAGAGAGTAGTTTGGTAGGAAGGATGGTAGAAAATTGAGACCTCCCTGGATAGGAGTGAGTGATAAGGAGCTCTTCAAGGGGGATAGTGAATAGCTGATGGAGGAAGATTTTGAAAGGGGTGAAATTCAGGGAAAGGAGACTGTAGGAGAGATTTCTTTTCACATGTGGAGAAAGCACATATTAATGAAGGTATTTGGAAAGGTGCATTGGGAGGTATTATATCTGAGAACTGACTTACTCTATGTAAGAGGAGACAAGGATGACACAAAGGGTTTGGGAAGAGCAACATAGATTTGAAACAGCCCTATAGGGAATAATAAAAACACCCTCCCCACCTTCCATTTTTCTACTACGTGTTATTGTTATGTTAAACAAAGATTGACACTGTAAGTTCACATAATATGGGTCACAAACTTGTGGCCCATATGTCAAATTTAACCCCAAATTATATGATTTTTTCTTTAAAACAAAATTAGTTGCCACCATCTTAAAATTAAGCAACTTTTATTTCATTATTTTTTTAAGTTTTTTTTTTAATGTTTATTTTTGAGAGAGAGAGAAAGCGGGGAGGGGCAGACAGAGAAGGAGACAAAGATTCTGAAGCAAGTTCTAGGCTCTGAGCTGTCAACACAGAGCCCGAGGCGGGGCTCCAACCCACGAACCGTGAGATCATGACCTGAGCCAAAGTCAGATGCTCAACTGACTGAGCCACCCAGGTATCCCTAGCAACTTTTATTTTAAAAAATAATCCTATTTGAGAACTTCTTCTGGAAAGACTGTATGATCCTATATTACTGACCATACATTGCAGAGTGTAGCCGAGTGCTAGGAACTTTCTTTATATAGCGTAGGTATTCCATAGCCCCTTTCACTGATTTCTGTTACCTTCTGGAGCTGGTAGGCATTTGAGTTTAATATCCCTGATAAGCTAACTGTCTCTTGAGTATCAGCAAGTCAGCTGTGTGAAATTGAGGTGTGATTATTATCTATATTTTTCAGAAAAGGAATGTAAACCATCACAGGAATCCCAACCCAATACTCTTACCCATAGATTCAGAGCTTCAGAGGAAGTGAAGTGCCTTTTAAAAAATGACTTCTAACTGGATGAATCCCTCTGGGAAGTGTTACTGTGCCTTCCAGGACCATCCACATCCATCCTCATAAACTCATCTTGCAAAGTAAAACCACTGTCAATCAGGGGTCTCCTTTGGTATGTGCTAAAGACCAAATCATTCTGAGATATCTGGCCCCTCCAGATATTTGTATATCTACTATAGTATTTCAATTTCAAGTTTCTGACATACAGTTTGATGTGGTGTTGATTGACTATGAAATACAAATCCAAGCAAGTGCCTTACTTCTTTTATTTGTATAATAAGTAATATAGGGGTATCAGTTGGTGCTCATTCTGTTTTCAAGAAATAATCCTTAAATGTGACTAATAATTTGTAATTCATTTCCGTCTAACTGTCCGATGAAAAATCAATACTCTGAGAATCATTGATTAAATATGCTATATGATCACAAGAAAAAAGTCAATTAGGAAAAGCTCTAGCCATGTTCTTGAAAAAGTTTAATAAAATCACTTCACTCAAATGTGATTAAGAGCTGCTAATTTAGGACTAAGAACTATTAAAGAGTCTGCACCAGGATAACAACTCCTAAGAAATGGCTTCCAATTAATTAGAAGAAATTTTTCCTAATATCTAGCTATCTTGGTCTCTTTCATGCAATGAATTTCTGGCATTATGGACTTCAATTTGGGGCGGGGGTGGGGGGGTCATTTTATTTCTAATGAAATTACTTCAGTCCTAGGAGGAAGCTCGTAGGGTTTGGTTTGCTTGTGTAGTTTCTCTTCTCTTCTCTTCATAATTTCTCTGAAGTGATTTTTTTCCTCTAACTCTTTGTCTTTACGTTCTTGGGCCTCACATATTGCATCTTCTTTCCGTCGGATCTTTAGCTCTTCCTGCCACTGTCACAGAGAGAAAGTGTCATTTACATATGAATTTCCATGAAAAAATACATCACTTTAGCTTCTTAAGATGCAGATTCTATTATCCAATTATCTTCTCAGTTTTTCTCACAGATATTCTTAAGGAACTTAAACCCTACCATAACTGGAAAAATATATAAGCCATCTGTTAGTAAGTATACAATTTTGCTCCCCTCCCCTCCCCCAAAAAAAGAGAGAAAAAAGAGAAAATAAGGTTTACATTTTTATATTACAAAGGAATTTGTTTTTCATCAATATGGATATTTCCATGATAGCTTGGAATCAGAAAATGAAAAATCAAGCCAAAGCAAAACAAGAAGAAAAGCCAAATTAATGTGAAAGGTAAAAATTATAATACTATTACATATGAAGTAGAAAATAAAATTGATGGGCAGACAAATGCTGATTCTGCAGCAAATACAAAGACTTCTAAAGGATTCACTTCAATTGAGCATGTTAATCATGACAATAATAACAGCATCATCTGGAGGCAAAATTCTAGGAATCAGTAGTTAGAAGGACCTCAAATCAACCAGACATCATCATGAGGACCCTTTTCCCCTTCTACTATCTTTAATGAAGGAAAGAGTGAAAGAGGTGGTAATCTCTCTGGGTAAAAAGTTCAGGGCACAAAGACCCTTAGCATGAAATGTTGGAAGTTCCTAGACACTTCCTACCCTTGTTCATTTTGTCACCCTCAGTCTGTCCATACTCACAAACAATCAGACTATGCTTAAGCACCTATCAATTAACTTATAAATTACTATATACTAGTGCTGTGAATTATAACTATTATTTGAGATCTATAGATATTAATAAGCAGGACTAAACCACAGAGTTAAAAAACAACTCAGCTTTCTAAAGGCAATACATTTTTTTAAATGTCAATACACTCAGAGTAAATATTAAATGAAAAAGCATAATAAAATACTCATTTTTCTTACCCCAAGTTAAATTTTAAGACATAGGAAATACACATGTTACTTTGATAACTATGATACCCATCTGTGACATATAATTTTTGTCATATAACAAACTAAATAATAATATTGTTTGACAAAACTACCAAATTTATGTTATAGCATAAAAGTGGTAGTTGATGTAATAATGACAGTATCCATAAACAAAGGCAACTAATCTACCTTATATGAGAGATTTCAATGTACTTCGTGACCTTGATCTTTACATTGTGAAAAATCAACAGAGGATTAATTCTTAAGAACTCTCAGCAAAATAGAACCCTTTGGTTTCCCAAACAGCATGTATAAAAGTGGTAATGGGGTATCATATCGCTCATGTCCAGGAGGCAGCTCTACCTCTCTCTTAGCTCACTCTCTTGTTAGAACTTGGCATGGTTGGAATTCACCACAACATTATTATCTTTCTTCCTGGTATTCCCAGGAAAAAAAGCAAACTTTTCTTCCCCATTCTGTCTCTCTTGACCATGACAAATTCAATTTGGATAAACCATTGTCTTGTCTTTACTTTATCTGATACTGTTATCATCGATTGTGGCAGCAAGAAGGAGGATGCAGATATGGTTGAAGTTGATGGGAAATGGAAGCACTATTTACTGCTTTATTTAACCCACTCAGTCAGGATTTTAATCACCATAGTATAGAATACCAGCAGTGTACATGGCACCTTAATATATGCTGAATAATTAGAGGTATCTGCCTTATTATTTGCTTAATATGGCCACTTCATAGTATTCAACTGACTTAATGGGACAACTAAACTTGTAGGTTTTTGTTTCTTGTCAATACCACAGATTCCACCTTTCCACCCTGTTAAGGTTAGGAATTATAAACCAAGAAATTAAGCAACTATGAAAACCAGAGAAGAAAAGTGGATTTGAAGTCTGGACATCTGGTTTTGTGTGTAGACTCAAAAAACGTTAGTCATTTACTATCTTCAAAACCTTAGGCAAATAACTGCATTGTAAACTACCATTCTTCTTTTTTATAAATGTTTTATAGGGCTTGTTGTGAAGATCACATTAACTAATGTAAAAGCAAATATAAGTATAGAGCACTACTGCTATAGCTATCTGAAAGGAAATGATATATACATGAATATTTTTTGAAATGTGCTACCAGGAGAAACTTCCATAACCTTCTCCAACCAATACTGCAGACTATTGGATTAGGCTAGCCACCTATCAAACAATTTGGGTTCTACTAACTGTCAAACATATTTTGAGAAAGAATTCCTTTACACTTCCGTGAATACACTATAAACAGATCCGTGGCAGCAATTACTTCGATAATGCTTACATCCTTGGAAAGAGAAAAAGATGAAGGTTTTTAGGCGCTACTACCTGCCTCCTCTCTACCATTCAAAAGGATGTCCTCTGTCTCTTGAACTAGCCCTAGGCAGATGTGTTTAATTACAAAATGATTCAAGTCTTATCAATCTTTCAAGGCTAAAAAACTGTCACTGAAAATTCAGTCAAAAGGTTTTTGTTCTGTTATTAAAACTACACTACATATACGTGTATATACACATTGGCTATTTGCTATCCCTTATCATCTATCCTAGACCATTTAGTTGAAGTGAATAGTGAAATACAGATGCTGCAACTTATAAACCATTACAAAATTTGTATAATGTTCTGTATATATAATATATTGGTTTCGCAGAAACTTCATTAGTGAATAAAAGGATGATACAATTAATTAAACATATTCTATACGCTATTGAGTCCATACTGTATTCAAAGAAAAAGAGAAAATAAGTATTTTCTCTTCTACTCCAACTCTACTCTTAAAAAGTTACAAAATTATTTCATAAATCATGAACTAAATATAGCTGAGTGGATTAAGGTGTCTTAAGTGAATGGCCTTGAATTGCCACTGTTTAACTCATACCAAGAACAAAGTGATTAAAGTCTAATATTTCAGGGGTAAAGAATGATCACCAAAAATTGAGCCAAAAGATTTTTGTTCCATTACTAAAACCACATTATAAAAGAAATCAGTGTTCAGTGTTCAATACCAGATCCTTGTCACAAGAAATCAGTACTAAATTCAGGAAGCATGATAAGGCTAGTATTTTACAAATGACAGAAAGCCAAATTTTCTGTAACCCAATAAAGGCACTGAAGTATATATACAGCACAGTAAGATATAATTAAGTTTGGCAATGCCTAATCATGGCTTCATTTCTAAGTTTGATGTGTTAATGTTTTAGTCTCAGAACTGCACTTTCTAATTCAAAGTGCATTTAAAGAACAAAGGTTTTGCTGCTAGTTTAAGGAAGTCAATCTTACATGATGGTCAATGATTCTTGCCAATTCTTCATCAGCTCTGGTGAAGAAATCCGGATAAGAAAACATGGGAAGTTCTGATAAAGAAGGATGTTCCCTTCAAAAGAGCACAAGAACAATATTAGGTATAGATAGTTCTCCTTCCAGGAATATATGGATTTTCAAGTCATAATTCATTACACAGCATTTTGACTCTACATTGTTAACATCAAGTACTTATTCTTTGTAGACTACTATCTATAGCTTTTAGTTTCTATAAATAATGTTGGGTTACCTAAACTGACATTTTAGAAGGTAGGGAATGATATATAGTATCAGAACTAGAAAATAATAAAAAGGTAATCTTTGGGATGCTTGGGTACTCATTCATACTTTTGGCTTTGGCTAAGGTCACAATTTCATAGTTCATGAGTTCAAACCCCACACAGTGTGGAGCCTGCTTGGGATTCTCTCTTTCCCTCTCTCTCTGCCCCTTCCCAGCTCATGCTTGCATTCTCTCTCTCTCTCTCTCTCTCTCTCTCTCTCTCTCTCTCTCTCTCTCTCCCCCCACCCCCAAAATAAATTTTTTTAAAAAGTTATCTTCTCCTAGGAGGTATAGTCAGTAGCACAGGAGATGATAGGAAATGAAGGGTTTAAGGAAGCATGACATAAATTTTGTCCAATGGGGAGATTAAAGTTCCCATAGCCATACATAACCCCATGACCCTGGAAGGTCTGGTGAAAGTCTAAGCCTAAGAATTTGATCTAAGATATACTAAAAAAAAAGCAAAAAATGCTGTGATTTCAGTACTTCTCCAAGGTCTTTGTAGTACTAAGGGTGAAACTATGGCAAACAGTTTACAAACAGTTCAATAGAAGTGTTGGCAGTGCAAACCTAGGCTCTAAACTAGTGGAGACTTAGTGTTAAATTGTCCACATAATAGTTGCATTATGTTACAATTATTATGAAGAAATTGTTGTGAATCCAGAAATACGTAAAGCAACAAAATGGTTGTAGAGAATATGGTTTTAGAGGAGAGAAAGTGGGTTTAAGGAAAAGCTCTTAGGCAAGAAGCTAAGGAGAGACATAGCCCATGAAAATTTTCCATATTCAGAAAAGTCTGATCACTTTTTAAGACAGCAATGTCTAGTGTAATTTTTGCAATTTTCTGTCTATCCAGCAAATTTTAATGAGCTTTGTACATTTGACATCCTATGTTTCCCTCATATCACTAGGTCCTCTTGCTTTATGCAGCACTAAATGCTTCTGAAATCTTTCCATTTATCTACATTTCCACCATCATTTCCTTGGTCTGAACCATCATCTTTCACCTGGACCAACACTTCCTTTTTCAAATCCCTGCATCCACCACGCCTCATCCTTTTTAGTCTCATCTGTATACAGTAGCCAGAACTTTTTTCAAAATACAAAGGGAATCATGTCAATTCCCTACTTCAAACTGTTTAAGAACTCCCACTTAACTTTAGGATTTAGATCACATTTATTGTCAAGACCTGAAGTAGACTGTGCACTTGGCAAAGTGGCTTTGCATGTTTTTTCCAGACTCCCTTCTCTTCTTGGCCTGCATCTGTATGTTTCTAGCACATGGACTTTTTTGTAGTTGCTGCAGTGTATCCTGCCCCACCCTACTATGGTTTCCATGTGCTGTCACCCTTTCTCCAGTGCCTTTCTCCCCTGCTGCTCTCTGCCACAGGGCTGGCTAACGTACACTTACCCTTCCACTCTCTGTGCAAGCCCACTACCATAGCCCTCAGTCCATCAGGGGCCTTTCCTTCATCATACTTACCTCCATTGTAATTTTACATTCATTTGTGTGCCTGACTGAGTTTTGTTTTCCTGAGTAGAGTATGGGCAACATGAATGTGAGGACTTCATTTGTTTATTATTGGTCTCCCGAGTGCCCACCACAGTGCCACCAGACACTCAATGAATGCTAGTATGTTTGGTGAATTCTTGAATGAATAAATTAAAGCTGGGATATGCTTTAATCCCCTTTACAGTCCAAGCCATCAGTAAGCGTCTCCCAGATAGCACTCTTATGTCAGTGGAACAGTACCCAGGACAGCAAGAGGATTGCAATCCCAGGAGACAAGTCACAGAATGAAACTGATAGCAGGAGTTCAAAGGAAAACAACTCAAGTGGTAGGTGAGCAGAGAACATATATGGACTCCTCCCCCAACTTGCAAGACTCAGAAGTATTATGGGGCAGAAGAGCAATGGGCTTCCCACCACATGTCCAATAGGGGCTTGAGCCATTCTATTAAAATATTAAAGGAAAATATGATCCTAGAATGCTGAGGAATTTGGGGACATATAGGGGCAGATCCTTGGGTTAACTGTATTCGTTCAGTAAAATTTGGGCATTTCTGATAATTCAAAGAATTGTGCTAAATTCTGTGAAAAGATAAATAAGACAGAACTTCTAAATTATTTAAAGGTTGGGGTGCCTGGGTGGCTCAGTCAGTTAAGTGTCTGACTTCAACTCAGGTCACGATCTTGTGGTTCATGAGTTCAAGCCCTGCATCAGGCTCTGTGCTGAAAGCTCAGAGCCTGGAGCCTGCTTCAGATTCTGTGTCTCCCTCTCTCTCTGCCCCTCCCCTGCTCACACTCTGTCTCTCTCTCTCTCTCTCTCAAAATTAAACATTAAAAAATTATTTAAAGGTTAAAAGTATTCAAGCAAGTTTCCTCAATTCTTGAATCATAAAAGTTGAAAGAAATGCATCACAATATAAATAATATTAGAAAACCTTTAAAATAGGAAGATTAAATGGATATGCTTGGGCATCTGTGATTTTTAGTTATCTCAGCTGAATAGTTTATACTAAAAAAGAAAAATGAGTAGATAACTATAATAGGAGACAACATGAGACATAAGAAAGATAAACATTCAATTATATAAACTGAAAAATACAGTAAAGTGGTTAAGCACAGGGCTCTGCAGTCAGATCTCAAAGCAAATTTTCATTCTGCTACTTAGTACTATTTAATCCTTATGTTCCTCAGTGTCTTCATTTTTAATATAAAAAGATAATGGTACCTACCTTGTTATATCTTTATGAGGATTAAGAAGGATAAGACATAAAGCATGTTTGATGGAGCAAATACTAAACAAGTTCCAGCTTTTTTACCCTTATCAAAAGCATTATCATCAGCATTATCAAAAGAATTCAGAGGAGGAAGCCATGGCTTTTGGCTGGTACCAAAAAGAGGAAAAAAAGAAAAGAAAAAAAGGATGCAGGAACAAAACATGTAAGGTACGTCATGAATGAGATGTACAATTTTGACTTTTTGGAGTTAAATGGGAATTGGAGAGAAACCTTTCCATAAATTTCTTGTATGACAATCCTAGGTCTGCCATAACAAATTACCACAAATTGATCGGCTTAAAAAAACAGAAATCCATTCTCTCCCAGTCCTTGAGTCCAAAAGATCTTAATCGTGTTGGCAAGGTGGGTTCCTCTGGAGGTTCTGGGGAAAACATATTGCATGCCACTCTTAGCCTCCAATGGCTGTGAGAAATCCTTAGCATTCCTTGGTTTATAGACACAACACTCCCATTTTCTCCATCTTCATGTGACCTTCTCTGTGTTTCTGAATGTCTTCTATTTTCCATCTCTCATTCATAAGAACACAAGGACATTGTCACCGGATATAAGGCCCACATGACCAAGACAGCCTTAACTTTCCCCTCAACTTGACTAAACCTTAGACAAGGCTTCTTCCTGACCCTGGATCCCTGACCATCCCTTTAAAATACAATCAATCAAGAAAGATAGTGCCCCTGTCCTCCAGTATCTGTGGTAGGGTAGGAGCTTAACCTAGAAATTGACAATTAGCAAGCACAGATGACCTCATCACATTGCCCCCCCCATCCCCCCACCCCCGCTCCTCTAACATCCTCCAGTACTTTTCCACTACCTCACTTCAGCACTAAAAATCCTCCTGTCTTTTGTTTCAAGGGAGTCTAATTCAATCTCTCTTCTATATTGCAAGACTTGAATAAAGTCTTCTTTGTCTGTTTAATTTCCAGTGCAATTTTTGACACATCCTAATTCAAGATGACCTCATCTTTATCTTTAGTAAGGGATCTTTATCTTAGTTACCCAAATAAAGTCACATAGACAAGTATGGAGTCTTAAAACTTGGACATATCTTTTGGAGGACACAATTCAACCCACTACAAGTAACAAAGCAGAAGTACAGACAGGGATGAAGGAAACAAAGGACTCATATGAGAAGTACTTGGACTCAGAAGGATGGAACCTAGAATACACTTAAGGGAACAGTAGGTGACTCATTTATTCACTCATTCATTCATATGTTCCACATTTATTGTGAGAGGCAAGTTATTGTAAGGACTGGCAGAAAAAACATTTTTTTTAAACTTGCATACCATGCTCTAGAAATTCAAAGTTCAGATGGGTTGCAGACATGTTAACAGAAATCTACAGTACACTAAAAAAAAAAAAAAAAAAAAAAAAAAAAAAAAAAAAAAAAAAAACTTCTATAAAATAGTAAAATAGGGTTTTGTGGAGTACAGAGGTAGGAGGTAAGAGAAGATTTCCTGAATGAATTATGCATGGTTGTCCCACTAGGATGTTTATGGACTGAGTAAAAGACACATTTAGGACATGTTCAGTTTTTTTAATATGTCAAAGATGGGAAATGTTCAGAGATATTTGCCAAAATAGACAAAAAGAAAAAATAAGGGATAACACAGTTTTTTAAACAGAATTGTGGTTTTTCAGGTTCCCAAGATTTTCTGAGGATATACAAGTATGGAGTGAACATCCCATCATACAGGAGGTATTCCCCAGAAACATGTGGCATGCCCATGTCTCAGGCTTCTTTAATCCTGCAGTTCACACTCTGACCTATGATTCAGTGTTGAAGCATCAACTTAGCAGGTAAAAGGTTGCTTTTATCTCAAGCAGACTAAAATAACCTTTGGAATTACCCAATGAGGGAAAGAAACTGTATTTTTAAACAACCCACAGAACTACCTCCCTGTTTAGCAATTCAATGACTTACCCCTTTATCACACACTGATTGATTGATTGGTTGATTGGAGAGAAACTGGGCACCCAGACTCATT